TGCTATCAAACGTAACCTTTTGGATCAAGACATCTGTCGTGAACTGGACAAGAATCCTGAGTGTTACGTCGATCCAGACACTGATCATGACGCAAACTATGAAACATTGAAGAAAAAATGTAAAACAGAGCCTCACACAGGTCTGCTACTTTTGCCTATTGCTGAAGGGAAAGATCCTTCCAAATTGATGTTTGATGGTGTTCGCAAACCAGTTTCTGCAAARGATTTGCTGGAATGTGATGTTCTTGACAAACCAACTTTCAACCAGTTGATTAAAGGACAGAAGACTGAGAAAGATGTGTCTGTCGATAAAAAGATCATTCTAAAAGGCACGGGATCAATTGCCGGAGTGGCAGCTGGACCTTCAGGAAAACTGTCCCTATCAGATGCCAAGAAAAAGATGCTGGTGTCTCCAGAAAGTGCAGATAAACTGCTAGAAGCTCAGGCTGCCACTGGTCACATCATTGACCCCACGTCCAATATGAAACTGACTGTAGAAGAAGCATGTGCAAAGGGAGTGGTGGATAAATGTGACAAAGACAAACTTTTGGCAGCTGAAGCTGCTGCTGTTGGTTATCCAGACCCTCGCACTGGTMAAAAGCTCTCAGTGTTTGAAGCAATGAAGAAGGGAATCGTCGATAAAAAGACTTGTGTCCATTTGCTCCAGGCTCAGGAGTCTGCTGGAGGTATTCTAGATCCAAACCTCAGTGTATTCCTCCCAAGASACGCTGCTATCAAACGTAATCTTTTAGACCGAGACATCTGTCGTGAATTGGACAAGAATCCTGAGTGCTATCTTGATCCAGACACTGAAYGTGACACCAGCTATGGGACATTGAAGAAAAAATGTAAAACAGAGCCTCAAACATGTCTTCTTCTCTTGCCAGTTGCTGAAGGAAAAGATCYTTCCAAATTAATGTTTGATGGTGTTCGCAAACCAGTCTCTGCAAAGGATTTATTGGAATGTGGTGCTCTTGACAGACTGACATTTAACCAGCTGATTAAAGGACAGAAAACAGAAACAGAGGTGTCTGTGGATAAAAAGGCCTTTCTAAAAGGAACAGGATCAATTGCCGGAGTAGCAGCTGGATCTTCAGGAAAACTATCTTTATCAGATGCCAAGAAACAGATGCTGGTGTCTCCAGAAAGTGCAGGTAAACTGCTAGAAGCTCAGGCTGCCACTGGTTACATCATTGACCCCACATCCAATAAGAAACTKACTGTAGAAGAAGCATGTGCCAAGGGAGTGGTGGAAAAATGTGACAAAGAGAAACTTTTAGCAGCTGAAGCTGCTGCTGTTGGTTATCCAGACCCTCGCACTGGTCAAAAGCTCTCAGTATTTGAAGCAATGAAGAAGGGAATAGTCGACAAAAAGACCTGTGTCAGTTTGCTACAGGCCCAAGAGTCTGCTGGAGGTATTCTAGATCCGGATCTCAGTGTTTTTCTCCCAAGAGACGCTGCTATTAAACGTAACCTTTTGGACCGAGACATCTGTCGTGAATTGGACAAGAATCCTGAGTGCTATCTTGATCCAGACACTGAACGTGACACCAGCTATGGAACATTGAAGAAAAAATGCAAAACAGAGCCTCAAACTTGTCTTCTTCTCTTGCCAATTGCTGAAGGGAAAGATCCTTCCAAATTGATCTTTGACGGTATTCGCAAACCAGTCTCTGCAAAGGATTTATTGGAATGTGGTGCTCTTGACAGACTGACATTTAACCAGCTGATTAAAGGACAGAAAACAGATAAAGAGGTGAGTGTGGATAAAAAGGCCTTCCTAAAGGGAACTGGATCAATTGCTGGAGTGGCAGCTGGACCTTCRGGAAAACTATCTTTATCAGATGCCAAGAAACAGATGGTGGTGTCCTCAGAAAGTGCAGATAAACTGCTAGAAGCTCAGGCTGCCACTGGTCACATCATTGACCCCACATCYAAYAAGAAACTGACTGTAGAAGAAGCATGTGCAAAGGGAGTGGTGGATAAATGCGACAAAGACAAATTTTTAGCAGCCGAAGCTGCTGCTGTTGGTTATCCAGATCCTCGCACTAGTCAAAAGCTTTCAGTGTTTGAAGCAATGAAGAAGGGAATGGTCGACAAAAAGACTTGTGTCAGTTTGCTACAAGCCCAAGAGTCTGCTGGAGGTATTCTAGATCCAAATCTCAGTGTTTTCCTCCCAAGAGACACTGCTATCAAACGTAACCTTTTGGATCGAGACATCTGTCATGAACTGGACAAGAACCCTGGTTGTTACCTTGATCCAGACACTGATCGTGACACAAATTATGGAGCATTAAAGAAAAAGTGCAAGACAGAGCCTCACACAGGTCTGCTTCTTTTGCCAGTTGTTGAAAGGAAAGATCCTTCCAAATTGATGTTTGATTGTGTTCAAAAGAAGGTGTCAGCACAGCAGCTCCTGGAGTGTGGTGTTCTTGACAAACAAACATTTAATAAGCTTTTAAAAGGGCAGAAAACCATCCAAGAGGTGTCAGTGGATAAAAAGGTCTATCTGAAAGGGACTGGACCMATTTCTGGGGTTGTTGTAGGCCGTCAAGGTAATATTTCCTTATTAGACGCCAAGAAACAGAAGATCATATCCGATGAATGTGCAGATTTACTACTAGAAGCTCAGGCTGCCACAGGTTATATCATTGATCCTAAAAGTAACCAGAGACTGACAATACAAGAAGCATGTATCAAAGGAGTGCTGGATTCCAAAGACAAAAAACGATTGTTGACAGCTGAGTGTGCCACAGTTGGCTTTAAGGACCCTTCTTCGGGCAACCTAATTTCAGTCTTTGAAGCAATGAAAAAAGGAATTGTTGATGAAAAGACTGGCTTACGTCATCTGCAGGCCCAGGACTCTGTGGGAGGAATTTTGGATCCTAATCTTGGTGTCTTCCTACCAAAAGACATGGCTATTAAGCGCAACCTTTTAGATGAAAAACTTCTGCTTTCTCTAAAACAGAACCCTACTTGTTACATCGACCCTGAAACTGAGCATAATATCAGCTATGGAGCATTGAAGGCCAGATGCAACACAAACACTCAAACAAGTCTACACATTCTACCAGTATCAACAAAGGTTGACTCCTCCAAATTACTGTTTGATGGTGTACGAAYAACAGTCTCAGCTCAGCAGCTGCTTGATTGTGGAGTTCTGGACAATCGAGCATTCAACTATCTAATAAGAGGGGAGAAAACTGTCTCAGAAGTTGCTGTTGACATAAAAGTCTTTCTGAAGGGGACGGGATCAATTGCCGGTGTTGCAGCCGGACCTTTAGAAAAAATGTCTTTCACCGAGGCAAAGAAACAGAAAATTATGTCACCTGACAGCACTAAAATGCTTCTTCTGGCCCAAGCAGCCACAGGCCACATTATTGACCCCAGAACTAACCAGAAACTTTCAGTAAAAGATGCATGTGCCAGAGGAATAGTGGATAAGGAGGATGAATCAATGTTGCTTGCAGCTGAGTCTGCTGCAGTAGGTTTCAAAGATCCACAYAGTAACAAACTTTTGTCAGCTGGCCAAGCAATGAAGAAGGGTCTAATTGACAAAGAAACAGCTCTTCGAGTACTTCAGGCTCAAGAGTCTGTTGGTGGACTTCTGGACCCTACCCTTGGTGTGTTCTTACCAATAAGCATTGCAAAGAATCGGGATCTCATTGATGAGGACCTACAACAAGCCTTGAAGCAGTCTCCTGAGTGTTATCTGGACCCAGACACCCAACAACCAACTACATATATATCACTTAAGAAAAGATGTAAATCTGATTTAAGCACTGGTCTTTTGCTTCTCCCTAAACCCAAACAGCCGTTAACTATACAAGGACTTAGACAACAGGTATCCATCACAGATCTGGTTGATGCAAATCTGCTAAGCAAATCCGATGTGGACCAACTGAATGCAGGTAAATTGACAAGCCAGGACATCGAAGACCGCCTGCGTTCATACTTGAGAGGTTCCAAATGCATAGCAGGAGTTTATGACGAGGCCAGTGATAAAGTGTTGACAATCTATCAGGCCATGAAAAACGGACTGCTGAGATGCGGCACCACTCTTGAGCTTCTTGAAGCCCAAGCTGCCTCGGGTTTCATGATCGATCCTGTCAATAATCTCTATTTGACTGTTACTGAAGCCTACAATAAAAGACTTTTTGGGCAAGAATTTAAGGACAAACTACTGTCAGCAGAAAAGGCTGTAACTGGTTACAAAGTACCTGGAACAAACAAGGTTATCTCCCTCTTTCAGGCTATAGAGAGAGGTCTAGTTGAGAAAGGCCATGGCATCCGTCTATTAGAAGCCCAGATTGCCAGTGGTGGCATCATCGATCCTGAACACAGCCATCGTATTGAAGTGAATGTTGCCTACAAGCGAGGTTACTTTGATGAAGAAATGAACAAGATYCTGACTGATGAGAGTGATGATACCAAAGATTTCTTTGACCCAAACACAGAGGAGAACCTAACCTACCTGGACCTTATAAAACGGTGCATCACAGATAAGAAGACTGGCCTCACCCTGTTGCCCATCATTGACAAGAAAAAACAAGAGTCGACTCAGAAGAATACACTGAGAAAGAGAAGGGTGATAATCGTGGATCCGGATACCGGTAAAGAGATGACGATACGTGAAGCATATGACAAAGAGTACATTGACTATGAAACATACCTGGAGCTGTCGGAGCAGGAGTGTGAGTGGGAAGAGATCACTATTACAGCTCCAGATGGTTCCACACGGTTCATCATCACTGACAGACGATCTGGAAGACAATATGACATCACAGACTTGCTTGAAAAGCGACTTATTGAAGAAAGAGTTGTGCAGCAGTACCGCTCACGAACAATCACCCTCACACAGTTTGCAGATATACTCACTGATAGGACCAGAAATCTACCGCTGTCTTCATCAAGGATAACCCCATCAGAAACCTCAGGCACATCAACCTTAACATCGTCTTTATCTGTATCATCATCCAAAGGAAAACCACCAGAAATCGCAGGCACATCAACTGTAACATCGTCATCATCATCGTCCAAAGTAATGTCACCAGGAACCTTTGGCACATCAACTGTAACATTGTCATCATCTAAAATAATAACTCCAGAAACCTCAGGCACATCATCTGTAACATCATCATCATCGTCCAAAGTAATGTCACCAGGAACCTCAGGCACATCAACTGTAACATTGTCATCATCTAAAATAATAACTCCAGAAAACTCAGGCACATCATCTGTAACATCGTCATCATCATCGTCCAAAGTAATGTCACCAGGAACCTCAGGCACAGCAACTGTAACCTTGTCATCATCTAAAATAATAACAATGTCACCAGGAACCTCAGGCACATCAACTGTAACATTGTCATCATCTAAAATAATAACTCCAGAAATCTCAGGCACATCATCTGTAACATCGTCAACATCAATTTCCAAAACATCAAGATCTTCAAGTACGTCTTCAGTGACAAAATCATCTTCAAGAACATTGGAAACCTCTGTTCCTGCATCACTGGCATCATCGTCCTTGTCCTCTTCCACATCAACAATTGCGTCAAGACCCTTAACACCTACTTTTACCAAAACAACTACAACCAAAACAACTACTATCACAGAGCTAAGCTCCACAGCCAGGAATGTCAATGTTCCAGGGTCTTCTGACTCCCTTAAGCAGATGTCCAGTGTGTCCATCGCTTTGTCCTCTCCTCTCGACGCAGTGGGTGAAGTTGAACCAGTGGGAGCCATTTTTGATACCGACACTTTAGAGAAGATTTCCATCACAGAGGCTTYAAATCGTGGTCTAGTGGATTCTATCACTGCCCAGAGATTGCTTGAGGCCCAAGCTTGCACTGGAGGAATAATCAATCCCACAAACGGCCAAAGACTTAGTACCCAAGAGGCTTCCCGCCTGGGCATAATAACTGAAGCCATGGCCAACAATCTCAAGCCTGCCCAAAAAGCTTACAATGGTTTTGAGGATGTAAAAACCAAGAGGAAGATGTCTGTGGCCGAAGCCATGAGGGAAATGTGGCTCCCGTATGACGCAGGGCAGAGATTCATGGAGTTTCAGGCTGTAACAGGTGGACTCTATGACCCAGATAAAGGTTGTAGAAAGAGCATAGAGGATTCTCTAAAAATGGGCTGGCTGGATGCGAGAACGGCACTGAAGCTCCAAGATGTCAACCACCACACAAAAATCCTGACGTGTCCCAAAAGCAAACTGAAAATCTCTTACAAAGAGGCCCTAGATAACTGCCTGGTAGAAGGAGACACTGGGTTGAGAATGCTCCAAGCATCATCTGTGTCCTCCAGAGGGATTAGTAGTCCATATAATGTGTCTTCAGCACCCGGATCCTCCTCAGGTTCTAGGAGTGGCTCACAACGGGGCTCCCGCAGAGGCAGCCTGGATCTGGGCTCCCCACTAACTCAACACTACAGTTTTAGCAGCTACACCACCTCCTTTTCTTCGACCAAATAAACCTGAAAAAGACGTGCTTGAACTGTTCTTACATCTCGGTTTGATTTACAACAATAATCCTGATGTGCAGAAATGTTCTCTTTGTGTGCTCACAGAGAAATTACTTTTATTTCACTTTTATCTTCTTAGATGTGTGCTTTGGTGTTTCTGTCCTTTAAGAGGTGTAGTCATGATGAAGATATTTTTTACAACAATTAAAATAGTATTAAAGCCACAACAAGGTATTTGGATTAGTAATAAATATTTTTCAGTGTTCTTCAATTAGGCTTGAAATTGCAATTTTTCTTATTTGCATATAGTGTTTCACAAAAGTTTTATCCAAAGTGTCATTAAATGCTCTTTACAATTTGATCTGGATAACACAAAGCTCTTGTTTTTATTCGTTTTATGATATCTGTGTTTGTTTTCTGGGATAAAAGATAGTAATTTTGGTGATTTTATTGGCTTCGTGTCTTTTAAAGTTTTTTTTTCTGGTATAGGCTTATGGTTTGTAATGGTTTTTCATCAATAAAGTGATTTTCCTCTTTACATATTTTGAATTCTTTCTTATACAGTATATTAGTATTTTTAAACAATATACTCAGATTTGGCTTTTGATCAGTTGGATTAGCACATTTACAATTATATAGCAAAGTAAGACTTCAAAATCTAATAAATTACTCTTAATTACATGGGGTAAAAAATACTAGAATACACACTGTTACTAAATAAAACTAATTTATATTTCAGTTTTAAGGACTGATTAGAAAAAGTCAGATTACAGTACACAAATGTGCAATTTTGTTCTTTTAAATTTACTACTCAATTTATAATAACTAAGAATGAATACATTAAATTCCTGCAAAAATATATTTTTCATATGGGCTCATTACTTTGGTTGACTCGATGTAAAAGGGGCAGGAATAATTATTTATATCTAGATGAGTGACCTATTAAAAGGCATATTACGTATTAAAATTTTTAAGTAATTATTTTATGCACATTGTAGATAATCAGTAACGTTTCCACTTGTCAGGTGAAGGCGAAGTTCTCAAAAAGCAAAAAATTTAAAATCTGTGGCGGAAACTTTAAGAGTTGTTTAACCGCTTCAAAATAAAAGCTTTGTAATTTTTAATCGGCTGTAAATATAGTCAAAACGTAATGAATTACCTTTATTAAAAATTCTTGTCTTCAAGATATAAACATCTCTCGCAAGATAAAAACGTACCGACGACATGCTTTGACAATCTAAAATTCGCCGACGATGCTTAATTTACTTTGAAACTGTTACCCGGAAGTTATTTTGAACGCACAAGCATGTAGCTAAACATCGGTCGGATATGTTTGATTTCTGCTTAATCGTAAACTTAGTCGATCCGCTGACATGATGGGGTTGTTTATCTGGTTTTGTAAAGAAATAAAGCTATAAATAAATCGTGTTAGATGTTTGAGGTCGGTTTGACGTATTTTTCGGTAACAAAACAACAACCGGATGTAGCTAATCGGTGCAAACTGAGGACAACAAACTGGAGACGCCGTGAAAACACACCAAGGTAAGAGCAGTTTATGGACATTATAAAACATATAAGCCACTTTAAGTGAGCTGTAAGATGAAATTAAAGCTCTTTTGACTACATCTGTCAGAAGGACGTTTTATTAACAGGTTTTGTTCTGCAGGCCACATTATTGTACAAAACAAGAGTTGTTTTAAATTCTTATTTAAACATTCAGATTTATCTGTTCAGGGGACATAATGGCCGACGACCCTCAGAGAAACTTCCGCTCTGCGTATTATGAAAAAGTGGGTTTCAGAGGAGTGGAGGAGAAGAAATCCCTGGAAATCCTTCTGAAGGATAATCCACTGGGTAAGGTTCCTCCTCTCTGCTGATAAGTGTTCCTGTACTTCTTTCTATCACTGAAACATTTATTATGTATTTAGTTTCACTGAGTTAAATGAATAAAAGTTGTCCTCTCCTGCAGATCTGGAAAAGCTGAGCACCTTCAGTCAAAGGTTCCCGTTGCCCTCCATGTACCGGATCCAAGTGTGGAAGGTTCTGCTGGGTGAGATGGACTTTACCTTGTCTTTAAAGTCAGAGTTTATCAGAGCAGAACAGGACAGAGTCGTGCTCACTGACACCTTTCAGTTATTTATTAACGTTTTCAAAACAGAAACATTCAGATTTAATTAATTCAAAAACTTGTTCTGTTTGTAGTCTGCTTCATCAAACTTGCTGGTTTTGTCTTCTTATATGGATGTGGATACATTTTAAATCCTACACCAATATTAGATCWGACAGCGGATTCCAAAAGAACCTTACAAACCTACAAAATAACACCAAAATCATGTGATTCTCTCAAGGATGAGGGAAGTTTTTGTTCACCTTATCAGTGTGCGTTGCCAATGCACACCATTGTGATTCATTTCCCATCCAAGTCATCTCAAATTTGCCATGCTTCTCCTCCTGCATACTTTGTCCTACAGCAGCCATTCTAATTAATATCTGTAAAGCTCCTGTGCCAAATGATGGCTATGCCTTTTGGTGCCTGTACAACTTATAGTTTTTGAAATATTAATGTTTAATAATTTATAATGGGAGTCAATAGAGCCTTGTATTGGTCCAATACTGCCCTCTGCTATGTCTACTCAATGTTATAGTGTACCATAGTTTTATAATATCTTTTAATCTCCGTAGTTCAGTGTTTACTATACTAAAATATTTGTATTTCAATGTTTTACAATAATAT